TGTTCAGTTATACATTCAATGTTCCAAATTGAATTTAATCAATGAGCACTCTGATGTACTGAACGGATTCATCCATTCATTCAGCTATGACCCTTGTTACGAAACATTATGAAAAAGTAATCATACCAATTCGTTTTCAGGCGATTATTTATTTATTAATTATTATGATACATGACGATGATTATGGTGTTGGTGTTGATGGTATTGCTGTTGGTGTTGTTGTTGGTGGTGGTCGTGGTCGTGGTGGTCGTCGTGAGAATTAGACATGTACGCTATTCATTTTAATTCGGTAAACGCTCTTGCAAGCTGATTATTAACAAATAAATCTCATGACCGTTCGGCATATATATGGAAACGTATTTCGAGGCAATCCTATTGTTGATAATACAGACTGACCAGCCCAGTACTTTTCTTTCGTTCTACGTCTCATCAAATTGTACGAAACCAATAGAATGATTCAGCATTGGAAATGAACTAGAGTTGTGTTCTATTCAACCCCCTTCCCACTGCCTTGTTTCCATCCATGCACAGATCAACGGTGTCGACGTGACTCGATCTACTTTGAAAGAAGTTGTCGACTTGTTGGCCAGCACTGTGGACAATTCTGTTTGCCTCACAGTGATGCGACCGGTCGCGGAGTCCGGACCCGGGCGTCGGAATCAGGATCCGAGTCGAACTCGATCTCCACCGGAAGCATCCTCTTCACAGAGTAGTGTGTATTACAGCCTGCAGACCGCGGTCAGTGCTCCCTCTCGCGGACAAAGTGGTGATCCGAAACAGCAACAGCAATCACAACCACCACCACAACAACAGCAGCAGCAGCAACAACAACAACCAATTTACGCGTTCGTTCGACCCACCGACACATCACAACCGGCCTCCGCCAGAAGCTCTGATCGGACCACATGTTCGTCTATTCCAGGTAATTCGCATTACTGGACCGTTGTATCTTTTTTCTTTCAATTGCTCCAATCCGTTTGGGGGGGGGGGGGNGGAATACATGAGTAGGCGGGACCCTGAGTACACGCTTATTATTATTATTATTATTATATGGACCGCTTTCTATGGAAATCGCTTAACCTGACATGCGGTTACCAAAGCAACCATGTCAACATGCTACTATGCTATAAAAACCAATTATACGGAGTGAGTCATCTGGTGGAAAAACGAAACAGAAGAACGATGCAGTAGTCGTAGTTATGTTCCGCAAGGACTGTAAATAATTCGATGAAAGTGTGATGATCCGGATTGTTTGCGGAATCCGCAGATATGACGATTCACATCTTCACCCGATGTGATGTTCCTTTGATACGTTATTGTTTCAAAATACTAATGTCCAATTTTAAATCAGACTAGTAAGTTATGACCAAACTTGCGTTTCGCCAAGCAAATGGAGAATTCCGAAAGCTATTCTGGATCAGAACACAAGTTACTTGAATGAAAGTAAACTGTTTGCATTGTGTACGCTTCCTTTTTGCTATCGCACAACACTCAGGGTATCCCGTTTCCTTGAAGATAGACCAGTATGCGAACCCAACTGTCACAACAACAATGAGGGGCGGCCTATCCGCGCTTGCGATTCTCCCGAGGTGATCAGTAGGACAAGTGAACGAAAAACATTCAGAGAATATATATTGAGGCGTATTCCAACCAACATGTGTGTCGAGTGCTTTCCGAACGCTATCCTTGTTTGTGCACAGGCTTGAGAAGCTTCTTGTTGTTCTCTCTAATGTGATTTTCTTTTTAATGTGTGGTCACATATGTGCGTTCTCTTTAGCTGTATTGTTCCCTGTATTTCGCCACACACCCCTCCCTAACAAATTGTCAAAGAAAAAGTCATCGTATTAGATTCATCCTTCTTTTTCAATGTCATGATGTAACCAGAAATGCCCTAGTTAATTTGTTTGTGCTCAAGCGTGACGACTGAAACCAAAGTCATACCAATGTAATCTCACACAAAGAACGTTATAGATTTCATAGCAAACTTATCAAACTTGTGTCACCCCGCTCTCTCGGATCCATTTCTATTGTTAACTTCTTCAAACCCGGCACCATCATATACGGAAACAGCTTGGTTTGCTTTCTTGTTCGTTTATAATGAATCAGGCACCAATTATTGCAGGTCTTGTGGAACATTTCTCGTGTTAGCAAACTTTATCATTGTTATCGCTTGCAGTATGCTACGGTTTTGTTTTCTCTTCCCATACCACCTTGCATTTTTCTGAATGCACTCACTGTATTCTCTTGAAATTCGCTGACAATCCACGCGTTAGATGCAAAAAGCTGACAGACTGTTCGCATTCGCATCCGTTTACACTGCGTTCGCCACGTGACTACGATTATCATTCGTCTCATTTGGCAACTATCCTATGCGTGTAATATACACGTGTAGGCGCCCCCAATTATCCTGATCGAAACGCCAACACTTCGTATTCGGATAACTGATACGAATGGAGTGATTTTCACAAGTCGGAAGTGCAAACAAACGTACTGATCTAAATCTCGGTCCATTCACTCTGTATATACTTTGGAAAGATTCTTTAGATTGTGAATTATTGAAAACAATCACTTAGGAGCAGAAAAATCGGTACCTATTGAATGAATATGTATCTGTTTTTTTGGTTACAGATGAAGGTTTGTGGAGTCAATCAACCGGACCCAGTAGTAACGAGGTCTCCGCCCGTAATTCGCTGGTATCGCGACCGCGTCACTTAGACACACAAGTCACACTGGTCCCCGCTTTGCGTTCTTCGATGGATCAGAAAATGCTCAGCCCAGACGGGGCACCAAATCGAGTACGATTTCGTGGTCTTCCACGATCTCGCACCACCACGGGAATCGCTGCGGTGAGCTTTCTTTCCGTTTCACATGAACCAACAACTGTTCAACCGAATCACTCCGGGTCTTCCCGGGGCAATTCACATGCATTTAAACGTTACTCAACAGTAACTGCGCGGTTTTTACTTGTTCACTGGGAGATACTTACCATTTAATCATTTGACTGAGCTGTATTTAATTGATTCTAATCTGAATTGTCATTTCCTGACATGTGTCAGAATGATCAAATCAATTCCAGTCAGATCTGAATCATCAATTCATTGCCGGTTTATCATCACTGGTTTGCATTTATTTATTTATTTATTTAACTAACATCTTAGAGTAACTCTCAGTGGCACTTGACTTTGACTGGGATTTTATACGGCCTCATCACTTGACTTGATATTGCCAAGCCTGTCTCCGAATGTGTCCAACGGCGTCCTTGAATCTCACCTGTGTGTGGATCAAACAGGGTGAAAATCATTGTGGACATTTGAAAATGACATTTCGATGCCTTTTTGATGTCTTTTCGTTAGGGGCCCCCGAACTTACCGTAGACGTTACACAAGTTTCGTACATAAGCATGTCGTGAGCATATGACCGGTTGCCAAGGCTGAGTCAGCTTATCGCGCGGTTCGGTGGGTGCATGGGTTGGCATTGCCGATCGGTCTACGCCCTCGCCCAGTTTGGGCGTATCCCGGTCTGAACGGCCTGGTGCTTTCGATTCCCACGTGTAGGGGCGTGTTGGCGTGCGCCAAACCTGGTGGTCATGTTTGCGCGTATACGTTCGTGCAACCGTGTGTTCACATGCTTGAACCAATCCACGAGCATGAATATGCGTACGTGTGTGTATGTGTGTGTGTGTGCGACCGCGTGATATGGTTTCAGCCAAACGGATGAGTGAGCGTGTGTGTGCGTGCTGTAGCCATGGTTGCATTACGCATCTATCGGTCCAAAATGAGCTCATCGGATTTTGTTGACTATCTGAACTGTTTTGGTGATGCGTAACCAGCTCTTCCGCACTCCCCCTGAGCCTCACCCCGGACACTAACCTAGTCATGAGCTTTCACGCAAGACATTTGGAATGACCCGGGATGAGAACACACCCAATAACATTCATCATATGAGAAATAACGTTCTCTATGCATATAATATGAGTAGACGAATGTCACCATTTCACAAATAGCCCGCACAAACAATCTATGGTTTTGTCTGAAAGTGTACCGTCGGTGACGAACGTAAACCAAGTTATGTCGAAAATTGAGAATTTGTTTTAACGATAGTGAATTCGGTTCAGTCGTGATCGTTCGGACTATACAGGTGTCTCTGGATAACAGGTGAAATCGAAATCATGGAAGAAATGAACTGTATCTAAATGGATAGGAGAATGAATTCGCTTTCTTGAGTAGCCGGTACAACAACCGATGGAACATTGCATCTTGTGTGGCTAAATGTTCAACGGGGGGGTTGAGGAAACTAATGCAGTTAGTGCTGAGTTTTATGCTGACGACCCAGGTTGAGGTTGATTCCAGCTCTGTCTGTCTCTCGGCCCTCTATTCTGAGATTTGGCCGAAAATCATCCATATTTCAGGATGGGGTCTCTCCCGTGTACGTTTTACATGTGAGAGTTTGACAGGCTATGCGGGAAAGGGCAGTGTGTGTGTGTGTGTGTGTGTGTGTGACAAAACGCAACGCATTCTTGTTGTCAGATTGTTGTCCCCGCAAATTCGGGATTTCAACTGTAGATTACGCTCAAAGGTAAGCTGTCTTGAGGCCAGACTTTCTAACCTGTTTTATCTCTTTCCCAGTTTCCGTTGATTTCCGAAATAATTTCGAACGCGTTTCATATCGCCGTCTGTCTGTCTGTCTGTCTGTCTGTCTGTCTGTCTGTCTGTCTGTCTGTCTGTCTGTCTATCTGGCTGTCTGTCATTTTCCGCTTCGCGTCCGATAACCGCGGGAAAATGAATTCACTGCACTTTGGTGTCTAGGCGCTGGCGTTTTTGTGATTTTAATCGGACATCCAGTCCATGCACGTATGTGGTCCTAAACACATGTGCATGTATTGTTTAGCGAGAAAAAGTATCCCAAAACGAGGAAACGACCGGACCTCAGCACTCAATTGCACTTCCCCTTGGCCGCATCCACCACATTCATGATAAACACCATCTTATCGGGTTGAGGAATGAATGTTTCTCTGCGTAGCCTTGTGTTCTGGTACGAGTGCAAGACAGATAAGGAATAGGCGAAATTTCGATGTTGTTTCAATGAGATTAATGGAAGTTGTGTGGGCGTACATGGTGTTCATCTGCGAAACCTGCGTCTAGTCATCTGATTGCCGAAATTCATCCGATTCGACAGATGGTGGTGGAGGGGGGGTCATTGCACTTTCCCAGTATTCTCGTCACATTATTCCGCATCGATCCATACGACCGACCTATGCACTTTTCTTTCACCCAGAATTTAAAAGAAAATTGTCTACAAATAATATTAGTCTACGGTAGTATGAATCAACCAGGCTTGTTTTATGTGTAGACCATACATACCCGCAAGCAGTAATGTGATTTGGGCAGTAAAATTTTTTTTATCATACTGAGGATGATCAACAAAAATGGTCAATCAATGAGAGCCTAACCAATGGGAACTTGCACACAAGGTCACCATCGTGTGTTTTTGTTCTGGCAGTATAAAAAATGATATTCCACAATTCCCTTTCAAGTGGAAAGCCTCGCTACCACCCCGCAACCCCTCCCCCCCCCCGCACCCCGCTTCCCGGGCATTTTCGAGTTGGGATCTCAGTTGTGAGTGATAGGAAAGGCAGTGGAAATTTCCGATTGCAAATATCTGAAGGGTTTGTGTCTATTTCACTAAAAGGCTTGTCACGCTCATTAATTTATTTGATAACCACAAACGATTGTTTGAACAAAATGAGCTAAACAGAAAATTTCCATTTTATGCAATCTGTCTGATGCGACCAGTATTGACAAAAAATCATCTGTATCTATCTTCTCTTGTAGACCAATAACAATCAAGCAATCCCACAATCTATTTCTCAATCTTTGTATTTTGCCCGCAATCCTCGTTTTCGTCGAGTTGGATCGCAAGATTCACAATCCTCTCTGTCTTCTGGAGGAGGAGGTGGTGGTGGCGGTGGCGGTGGCGGTGGCGGTGGCGGCGGCGGCGTCCGCGCAAATCCACCCGTTGGCCAAACAACCGATCGGAAACCGCTAACACGTTCAACCTCGGGCGTCACAAACAGCACACGTTCACCGAGACAGCCGAATCAAAATCATACGACCGGGAACAGCAAATATTCCGTCCCAGTCACTGCTTCACAAATCCGAGCCGGTCGGGATCAGCTGCGTCCCATGCAACGCATATCTGCCGGGGACCAGCAACACTTTCAACCCATAAGCGCCGCACATTATCGACAACGAAGTGTACAGCCCCCCATGTATCGAAATGACATGTCATTTGGTGGTTGCATACCATCACTGTATCAGCGGAACACAGTTTGTCCACGAGCGGACACACCGAGTTCCACGGTGGATTCGCTAACGGACTCGGAGATTGTTTTACCACCACCAGTTCAGTTTCGCAGTTAGCAGTGAGATTGTACACAGGTTGGGGGAAAGCGAATCACGGACAGTTCTAATTGATTTA